ACAGCTGCGATGCCTGAGGTCGATCCTCCGCCATCGGCCGCTCGTACGCCACTACGCCATCTGCCACTAGCACTACCAACGCTAAAACAACAACCTCGCTGATAGCCGCTTCCACCACCAGTGCCAGCGCCAGCTCCATGGCCAAGGGTGAGAATCACGACTGGTGAGAACTCGACAGCAACGATGACGCAGCCAGAACGACCAAACGACGACCGCGCCGACCGCCGACCACCGACTCCCACAACGACCGAACGACGACCCCACCGACCACTGGCCAGCACACCGGCCAGCAGACCGACCAGCAGACCGGCAAACCAACAGGCCGAACGCCGCACCGGCCGACCAACCAGAAGACCAGCAGACCGACCGCCGACTAGCAGACCATCAGACCGACTACCACCGACCGACCAGCAGACCCACCGACTCCCACAACGACCGAACGACGACCCCACCGACCACTGGCCAGCACACCGGCCAGCAGACCGACCAGCTGACCGGCAAACCAACAGGCCGAACGCTGCGCCTGCCGACCAACCAGTAGATCAGCAGACCGACCACCGACCGCCGACTAACAGACCAGCAGGCCGACTACCACAGACCGACCAGCAGACCCACCGACTCCCACAACGACCAAACGACGACCCCACCGACCAGCAGACCGACCAGCAGACCAGCAAAGCAGCAAACCGCACGCCAGACCGACCGACCGACCAGCAGACCAGCAGACCGACCCCCGCCTGCTGGCCAACAGACTGGCAGACTACGACCGACCAGCGACCAGCGGACCCACCGACTCCCACCCTTCACACCGAAAGAGCTAAACAAGGCGATGAAAGGTCTCCGGCTTGGTAAAGCCCCAGACACGAAAGGCCTCCGCGCAGAGATGCTTAAAGCAGGCACAGAGGCTCACAGAGGAACTCAGAGGTGCACTTCTCCACCTCTACAACACGATCCTGCGGCGTGAAACCCCGCCGCGGGCCAGCTGGAAGAGCACATTCATTACAGTCATACCAAAAAGTTGAGATTTCGCGCTTCCACAGAATTACCGCCCCATTTGCACGATACCATTATTGTACAAGCTCTTCAGCCGACTATTGTACAACAGGCTACAACCGACGCTTGACTCACACCAGACTGCCGACCAGGCGGGCTTCAGATCAGGCCAGTCGACGACTGACCACCTCCTTACCTTCCATTTATTGCGCGAGCGAGCAAACGAATGGGGCCAACACCTGCCGGTCGCAGCACTTGACTTCAGCAAAAGAGTTCGATTCAGTTGAGCACAAGAGCATATGGGCAGCACTGAAGGCACAAGGGGTCCAACCTGGATACGTTGCTCTATTCCAACAGCTCTATGAGGGACAGACAGCCACGGTGAGAATTGACGCCAGCAGTCGACCCATTAGCCTCCTGCGGGGCACGAAGCAGGGAGACCCACTCAGCCCCCTACTCTTCAACGCTTTTCTACAATCCATCCTTGGACCGCTTGTCTCCGAATGGCAGCATCAAAGAAAAAGGAGTTGAATTGGGATTCGCGAGCACCGCCACGCTGACCAACCTACGCTTCGCCGGCGACGTGCTCCTGACCAGCCAAACTCTCCCGCGCCTGGCAGCGATGCTTGACGACATTGTGCACGCGACGAGGCTACGCGGGCTCGAAATACACCCAAGCAGAAGCAACATACTGAGCAACCAGACGAGAAGGACCGGAAGGTCGAGCTCACGCACAGCACGTTTCCAAGACATGGAGATAGAAATCATTCCATACGAGGGCAGTGTCAAATACCTCGGCCAATTGATCAGATTCCACGAACCGATGGAAACGGAAATCCACAATCGCACGCGAGCCGCATGGACATCATTCGCGTCTCGCAAGCAGGAGTTGACCAGCAAACAAGACCCACTGGCTCGCCGACTCCGACTTTTCAACAGCACTGTAGCACCAACAGCGTTATACGGAGCAGAGACGTGGACCCTCACGGAGCCTCTACGGCAGCATCTACGACGGACACAACGACGCATGCATCATCGCATGATCATCAGAACGCCACGGAAACGCACAACGAATGAAGCCGGCCGTCACAGCGGCCAGGGACCTAATCTCGACGGCGCGAACAAAGAGGTACAATACCACGAAGACCGCATCAACAGCACTAGCGACGACGCAGACAGCAACCCATCACAGTGTGATGCACCTGACACGCCTGACAAGCACAGCGAAGACGGCGAAAACAGCACCACCGCAGACGATATGAAACCATGGGTCGAGTACATCCAGCGATCGACACGACGCGCAGAGCACCTCATGAAGCTCCACCACATTGACAATTGGGGGGCGCTGCACAAACGGAAAGTATGGCGCATGGCTTCGCGAGTCGCAAACCACGACCGGACGAGGTGGACATGGCGAGTGTTGTGCTGGCACCCAGTCCCCAAACCGCGCCAGCGGGGACACAGGCAATACTGTGGCCCAAACAAGCGTTGGGACGACGAAATCACCATTTACTTACGTCAGCGCAGACCAGACCTCCACCGACCGCAGACCAGACCTCCACCGACCGCCCACGCAAGCCCATTCGAAAGGACAACCGAACGACATCACATGGACGCACACAGCCCAAGACACCGAAGCATGGACAGCGCTCGGGCACCACTTCACCGACCTCACGTCGACCAGTACCCGGGAATCAGACCAACGACGTAAAATCTCAGCGAACGTCGAGACGTCTCGTCCAGACGGCCGACACCGAAACCAAGGACGTTTTTTTCCTCCTCTTCCCCTTCTCCTCCTAACTTTGATTCTGTCTCGCATTGCAGGTATCCAGACACCTCAGATCCTAGAGGCCATGGCCTCACCCACCTGGTCTGCTCTAGGCCCGGACGCTGTCCGCAACGGTGGTCGCATCGTATCGCATCGCCGCACGGCACTGTGTAGCATGTAGGACTCAAAAGTACGGCCGCCTGTGCCTACCACCTTTTTACGACGAGATGACCAACAGCGAGACGGAGACAATATGAGCGGCCATCATAGCAGGGACTTGTGACGAAGTAGGGACGAGGAGGCTGACACGACGTCTGAGACGTTTGGAGCCTTTACCATCTTTCCCAGCGACGAGGCGTCCACCAGCGAGACAGAGACAATTTGAGCGGCCACCCCTATACTTGCGCCTACGCCAGCACCAGCGCCGTCGCCTCCACCAGCAGCGACGTCAGCTCCGACAGCAGCACCGACGCTTACACCGAGTTCTGAGCGCGGCTGCGTGAGGGCTTTACCTCCTTTTCCCTTCTGCCGTCTCTCTCTCTTTCTCTTTCTTTCTCCGGTGCATGACCGGGTGTTCAGAATCGGTTGTTTCCAGTCGCGTGTCTGCGGGTCCGCCTGGTCGTGCCGGGCACAGCTCCAGGCGTGCATGACTGCGGGTCGTCGTGGCCCCGCGCTTATAGCCATCTTACGGATTTTAGCTGCTGTGGTAGGTGCGGCGCTGCGTTCTTTGCAGTGCCTCGCCTTATACTGTAGTGGGTCTGCCGACTTGTGGAGCTTCCGGCTGTGAAAGGTCACGGCCATGATCGTTGTTTGCCTCCTCTCGTCCCTCGTTCTCTTTCTCTTCCTTCTTTTCTATAGAGGTGCGGGCGCATTTTCTATCGCTTTGTTCACCCCTGTCCACTGCTGTCCGGCGTTCGCGTTCCTCCTTCCTTGCCTCCTCGCTCCTCCTTTCTGGGTTGCCGTAGTGCGCTGTCTTGCTTGATACACGTGGCCTTTCGGGCCGCAGCGGAGCGTCGCAGTGCGCACTTGGCCCTTCTCCTCCTCCTGCTGCTGCGTCCTGCTGCTGCTCCCCCTTCGTCCTCTGCACGGGTGTCACTCCTTCCTCCTGCACGGTTGGGCCTGCAGTTGGCTGTCGCGCGCTCTCCCGGACACAGGCAACGAAACCGGGTGGTGGTGGCGTCCTGCGTTGGGGAACAAAACAACTTGGCCCTCCATTGCTGTTGCTGCTCAATCTCGCCTTATCGCATCGGGCCTTCGTCCCCACTGCTCGTTGGTAGGCACATGATCTTCCCCCTCCTCTTGGCCCCGGCTTCTAAGTCCTCCTGCTCCAGGTCCGTTTCTTCCGCCTGCCCCCTGCTCTGCTCGCTCTGCTCCTCATGCTTTTGCGCCACCTCCTCCTCCTCCTCCTCCTCCTCTTCCTCCTCGTTCCCCGTCTCCGCCTCCGCCTCCGCCTCCGCCTCCGCCTCCTCCTCCTCCTCCTCCTCCTCCTCCTCCTCCTCCTCCTCCTCCTCTTCCTCGTTCCCCGTCCCGCCTCCTACGCTTCTGCAGTTCTCCCCACTCACATCACCGCTGCCCTCTTGAGTGCCCGGCCCCCGCCTCTCCCCTCCCCACCGTGCCGGCGGCCGTCGCGGCCTCCCCTCTCGGAGGCATGGCCTGTCTTTGCCGGGAGCCTTGCCCACACACTGATGCCGAACGTGCGCATTCAGTCGGGCTTGTCCCTCTACAGGAGGAATATTGAAAAATTGCTTTATATATATATATATATATATATATATATATGGTCGATCCCCCCCCCAGCGACCCCCCAGAGCGCCCAAAGCACGAATACACAACTCAACTTTGGCCTGCCATCCAGGCTGACGAACTCATCCGCTCGGCCCATCCGTCACGGGCACCGTGCGCGCAAGCATATCGGTTTCGGCCGAGGCCACGAAACACTGTGTATCACAGGTTTTTCGAGTTTTTCTGGTCTGGGAACCAACGAAACACTGCGTATCACAGGTTTTTCTGGTTTTTCTGGTTTCTGGAGCTGAAATGCTCGCCGCGGCCTCGCCCCACCGCTCCCCCACCTCCTGTTTGTCGGCACCTGAAAACCAGAAAAACCAGAAAAACCTGTGATATACAATGTTTCGTTGGTTCCCAGACCAGAAAAACCAGAAAAACCTGTGATACACAGTGTTTCGTTGCCTCCGAGCAAGAAAACACTGTGTACTCGCTCGGGGACTACAGCGCTCGCCGCTCACTGGCAGTGCTCCTTGAGGAAGGCCTCCTCCAGCATCTTCCCTGTTGCCAGCCACAAATCCTCGCCCCTGTGCCAGTACAACCACTGGTAGGAGCGGATCTTGTTGGTCAGCGCCTTGGTGTTCACTGTCTTCTTATTCCCTAAGTGTTTCCGCAGCTCGCCCCAGATGCGGTCGATGATCTGGGTGCCAGCTTTAACCCAAACGCGCTTGGTCTTGTTGGGCTTGCTGTCATCTGGAACATCGTGGTGGGTGATCTTGGTGAACTTAGGCTTGATCCACACCCACTTACCCTTGACCATGACGCGCTTCTTGGCGTGGACAACCCAATCATGCTTGACCCCTTCGAGCTTCAGCTTATAACTCCTGGCCCCGTCCGTGTGCAGTATGATGTTGCGCTTGTGGACCCACTTGTAGGCCAGAGGCTTCCAATCGCGCTTGCGGATCGGGCCTGGGCCTGGCGCCCGCCTCTTTGTCTTCGCTGGGTCCAGCTTGAACAAGACGAGGGATTTCTGGTCGCCGCGCTGAACCATGCCGCCCCATTGCGCCCAGATGACAGGCTTGTCAGTCGCAGCGTCTGTGTTGGGGTCTTCTCCTTTGGCGATGTCCACTTCGTCGGCTTCTACGTCCGCCCAAGGCAAGTCGGCGCCGAACATGATGTTCTTCTCGTGCTGGACCACGCTCTTGGCGCGCACCGCGTGCAAGGACTCGTAGATGCTCCCCGTGAGCTTATGATTCTTCTGCAAGAGAAAACGCACGGAAGTCTGCGAGCATTTCGCAATCGAGCAGAAGAGCACAGAAGCTTGATCTGCCAAGCTCACGTGCGACTGCCCCGTACCGCACTTGAAGATGGGGTGGAAAGCGCGCGGGAGCACGCGGCGCTTGCACTCCTTGCTGTTGCAGCGGTAGGCCCACCCTCCATTCGAATCGGCGTAGTGCTTCAGAGGGCCAAGAGTGCCTTCCCCGCAATAGGGGCACGTGACGCCCTTCCAATCAGGGAGGATCTTGTCGCGCGTCAGCTTGTTGATGATGGTCTTCGCGGGCATGTTCACGAAGTCCTTGAGGGACCTCGCCCACGTGGCCTGCGCATGGCGAATCCTCTTGGTCGGGGCCCCGCGGCGCACGCACGGCACGTTCTTGGGCGCGCCGAGCTGGTCGGCAGCCGCTGGCTTCTTCAAGACGGAGGGCGCCGCCGCTGGCCTCCTGGCTGTAACCCGAGATTGCGCGGCAGCGCGGGCCTTGCCCCTCTTGGCAGCAGGCCGCGCCTTGCCCATCGCAACCAGCTCGCCGCTCGCGCGGGCCGCGCGATGCGTTCGGCAGCTGAACCGCGAACCTCTCGAGCCGAAATCGCTGCGGACATGGTCGGCGGGCCTCTTGACACATGTGGAAGCCAAAACAACGGGATGATAAGACGATCGCTGGACTGGGAACAAGTTGCGCGAGCAAACATTTCCGCGGCTAGATGCAGATCACCTCGCAAACAATGGAATGTTAATAATGCGAATGCGCATGATAGCATGCCCCTGTCGATGCCTCCCCTCGCAAGTTCACGAGCTCGACGCGGCGCCGCTTGCCACGCCATCCGAGAACGGCGAGATCAAGCCGTCAAGCTTGGCCTTCTCTTGCTCCCGAGACTTCTTGGCGTCCACGCGGGCCCTCTTCGGTGACGGAGAGCACAGATTGATAAGTCCGCCACCGCTGCTCAACTTACGCTTCCACACGCCTGGCTCCGCCTTCACTGGCTTGGTCGGTGGGGTGGCTGGCGTCGCCTCTGGCGCGGCGTCCATGCCGCCGCCGTGGCCAAATACGCCCTCCTCCTCCTGGAACGTTGAGCCCAAGCCAAGCTCTTCCCCATCGGGATTGGGCGGCGCAGCGGGCTGCGGCGAAACCGCGGCGGGCTCCGCGGCGGGCTCCTCGGCGGGTTCGGCCCCGCCCTGGTTATACTGCGCTTTGGCCTCCCTCATGAGCTTCAACATGTCGCGCTTCTCGAAAGCCAAGAGGTTGTCGAAGTCCTCCTGGTTGCGCCGCACGTTGTTCCGCAAGAAGTTCTGGAGGCACGTGCCCGCCTCAGGCGTGATGTAGCCGTCCTTGAGAGGCAGCTTCTCAACGAACGCGAGCGTGCCCGCTGGGCGGAAGTAAACGTTCTGCGTCGTGTTGAGAAGGATGTTGCAACGTTTGAGCATGGCGCCAATGTTGTTCAGGGAGAGGTTCTTTGGGAACGCGGGCTTGACCATCTCGACGAGGTAGGACGTAGTGCGGGTCTCCTTGTCCCTTGCAGTCGCGGCGAAGGCCCAATCAGTCGGCGTCGGCTCCGCAGCGGCATCATACTCGTTGTCGCCGCCGAACCTCGCTTGGTTCCTTTTGAATTTAGCCGCGCCCCAACGGACGTATACATTTGACTCGACCTGGGTTGGGTCGAAGAACGCCTTCAGCACGCGGGGCCTCTGGTCAGCCAGGTCCCCGTCGCCGAAGACGCAGGGGGCCCACGTCTCTCCGACCTCCAGAGGGCTCTGACGAAACAGGATTGCGCTTCCGACCAAGGTGCGGAAGTGCAATGGCCCTAGTCTGCAAATCCCTCTGACCTCTCCCCTGAAGAAGTCCATCTCGGAAGCCACGCGCACTGCTGGGACGGCAATCGAGCGGCCGCGCGCCTCGTTCGCGCAGTCTGCATGGTGCCTGGCCAGCGCCATGGCCATAATATACATCAGAGGGGTCTTCCCGAACTTGGCCTCGCCAATCAGGAGGACGGTGCTGCCGAGAAGCGCGCGGGTGATCTTGTCAACGACGGGCTGGTACTCGGGCCGAATGTCCCCCTTCAACAGGGGGTAGTGCGTCTCCTTGGCCGCGACGTGGTCGCGGTCCTTGAGAATCTGGAGGACCTTGCAAACGAACTCCTTCTTCACGTGTTGGAGCGGGGAAGCTGGGTCGACGTATTCCTGCTCCACCCATAACAACTGCTCGCCGTCCCAATTCGTGCGCGGCGCCTCGTCTTTGACGTGCTGCATCGCGTCGGCGGGCTCCTTCTTCTTCTGCACCACGTCGCCGTCTCCGAGAGGCACGCTCAGCGAACCTTTTGCGCTCGAACCTCCAATAGCGGAACAATAGCCCACCGAACCGCTCGACCATAAGTTGGAACGTGCGCAAACTGTTGAACGTATCTGGCTTGTAATCGATCGTGCAAGGGTCGCCCTGGATGAGTTTCTCCTTGACCGTGCACATGGCGCGGCCATTTCCGAGAAACGAAAAGTGCTTCACAATGACGCGTGACCCTGGTTGTGAGGGATGCTTGCAAATCGCGATGTTCAGCGTGCAAGACAGCTCGTCCTCAGTGTCATTGTAGCCGAGCGGGGGTGGCAAGTCTTTGTACCTACCCTTTGCCATGATCTTTTTACATCATCCCACGCCACGGCGTCCAAGCCAGCGGTGTCCGTGATCACGTCGACAACGTGCCTAATGTATTGCCTCGGCTTGTAGATCCATTGCTTGATGGGCAGGTCGAACAACGACGTGGACCCGACGGGGTCGCGGCTCAAGTCGCCTTGGACGTCGGGCTTGCCGAGGACGACGGCCTTCTCCTTAGTCTGAGCCTGGTTCCACACTTCCTCGAGCTTGTCATTCGTGTGATCGGCGTTCTCGAGCCACAGCCCCAAGCACTTCATCCCCTGCGCTGGCACGTTGGGCGCCTCGGCAACTCCCTTGGGGGCCACTGGCGAAAGATATCGGGGGCCACGCGGCAGTCGTGCTGCCAGGTCTTGAGCCGACGTAGAGCTGCATTGTCAGAATGCAGCGAAAGGACTGGTGGCCCGACTGTGACTTCTGAGACCACGACTACGGCTACGACTACTAGGACGGGGGAGATCGGGCAACGGCTGTCTGTCAAAGGAAATGGGCGAACCGCCAACGCGAACTCAGATCTTTTCCAGCGGTGCTCAGCGCGCGCGCATCCAATCTCACCGTATAGAAAACAATCGCCCCAGAGAAGCGCCATGCTGTCGCTCACCCTCTGCGCCTCAGAAGTAGCGGAACGCCGAAGCGCGCAGGCCGAATGACGGGCCAACGCGCTGTCGGTTGGATGGCTGGCCGCCGTCCACGTCGAAGACCACGTCGCGGTGGCGGGGCAGCATGAGCGACGCCATCGCGATCCGCTCCATGAAGCCCCAAGTCGTCGTCCAAGAAACCTCCGCCACGTCGCCCCACTCAGGGAAATCAGGGGAAGTGAAAGACACAGTGCAGGTGCGCTCCTCGGGGCCCGCCGCAGGTCGGAAACCCGCGTCGCTATCGAGCGGACCACGATCCGCGACAGATCGTTCGAGCCGATCGACGAGAGGGCTGTCGATCTCCAACCGCTTTCGGCAGACCGATCGGGCTGATCGCGGAAGAGAACAACGATCGCGGCACCGCGGCTAACGAGGCGCGCACGCGAACATCGTATCCAACGCAAAGGGCCACCACTTCCGTGCACGTGTACTGACGGACGACGACGTCGCCGAACGCGGGATCGTTCGCCACCCACCTGTTGCCGTGAAAGCCAGGGGCCAAGAACGGGTAGCCGCTGTCCCTCACTTCAATGTTCACGGGCCACACGCACACGTTGAACCGATCCTGGGGGAAACGCAATTGCTGTTCAAACTCGATGCAAACGGGGCAATGCATTCCAAAACTCCATTCCCCGCCCCCCCGCCCTTCGCCCGATAGTCCTCGCCAGCAGCCAAGCGCTGAGCCTGCAAGCGCCCCGCCCTGCGCCACGCCGCGTCGGGCGGAACGACGTCGCCAACGTGGCCAGGCATGGCGCGCGGCACAAACGCATATTCGAAAGCCATGCGATCAAACCTGCAGCGGGGAACCTCATTGGGGGTCTGAGCACCCTGGGAGGCCTGAGCGCCAGTGGCAACAGGGAGCGGACGGGGCAGGAAGGCGAGCGGAGGCGGTGGCGACGACGACATGTTTTTATGTGTGAAAAACCGAAGGTTAATATCATTCGCGAAACCGCAAGAAATGGGAACCCCAAAAATGTGTTCCCAAAGCGTTCTCTTTCGGTTACGACCCAACGTGTTCTCGTTTGGGTTTGACGTAAAGTGCGCTGGTAATCCCAGAGCGCGCGCCAGTGTCTGGCACAGCGCCGCGCAAAGGCGAGCGACTCTTGCGATGCCGCCGCCGTCGCTAGCTACTACAGTCTACAATATACATTTGGCTAAGTAGGCACGCGTGATATGGGGGGATCTTATTCAATATCCCCCTCCACGCCCACTGCTGTGGGCACGGCGACGACATGTGACGCTGTCTCGTTTACCATCGCACGTCACCAAACCGCGTTTCAAACAAGCGGGCCAACGCGACCCTTCTTTGTCGTGGGATGGGGGGATCTTACATAAGATCCCCCTCGTTGGCCACTGCTGCAGCCACGGTGGTAAAGTTCGGTTTGGTTTCGCTTGGCGTTGACGCAATGCCGACGCACATGACAACAGGCGGACTATACTGCGTCAGCGCTTGCTTTCGTTAGCGGGTCCGCGAGAACCCGTGCGCACCTCACTGCGCGCCCACGCAACCATCCCGCAAGGATGAATTGTCCCTCGTGACCCACTTTTTGGGGTCCAAGGTCAGCCAGGCCCAGCGCTTCCTGTCTTTGGGCGTCGCCCAGTGGTTGAAGCGCGCTTGCTTCGAGCGGAAGGTGGCGAGGGCAGTCTTGGCTTGGTCAAGTTCGGCCTGAAGTTCTCCCAGGAGCTGCGCCTGCTCGCGGCCACATGGCCGAAGGGGCATCCATGTGTGGATGCCCCCATTTCTACCGCATCAAGACACGATGGGAGGGGAAGAGGGCGCCAAAAGCTCTGGCCCTGCTTCCGCCTCTGGTCTAGGTTGTGCTTCTGGTTATGCTTCAAGTTCTGGCTCTGGCTCTGGCTTTGGTTATGGTTCTGGTTCTGGCTTTGGTTCTGGCTCTGGTTCTGGCTCTGGCTCTGGTTCTGGCACTGATTCTGGCTTTGGTTCTGGTTCTGGCTCTGGCTTTGGTTCTGGTTCTGGCTCTGGTTCTGGCTCTGGTTCTGGTGCTGGTTCTGGTTCTGGTTCTGGCTCTGGTTCTGGCTCTGGTTCTGGTTCTGGTTCTGGCTTTGGTTCTGGCTTTGGTTCTGGTTCTGGCTCTGGTTCTGGTTCTGGTTCTGGTTCTGGTTCTGGCTCTGGTTCTGGTTCTGGTTCTGGTTCTGTTTCTGGCTCTGGTTCTGGTTCTGGCTCTGGTTCTGGCTCTGGTTCTGGTTCTGGTTCTGGCTTTGGTTCTGGTTCTGGCTCTGGTTCTGGTCCTGGCTCTGGTTCTGGTTCTGATCAGAACCTGGGAAAACCAAAAAGCGGCGGCGCTGATGATTGGAACACGAGGGGACACGAGGGGGCACGAGGGGGACACGAGGGGGACACGAGGGGGACACAAGGGGACACGAGGGGGACAGCAGGGGACACGAGGGGACATCAGGGGACACGAGGGGGACACAAGGGGACAGCAGGGGACACGAGGGGGACACGAGGGGGACACGAGGGGACACGAGGGGGACAGCAGGGGACACGAGGGGGACACGAGGGGACAGCAGGGGACACGAGGGGGACACGAAGGGGACAGCAGGGGACACGAGGGGCACAAGAGGGGAAAACAGAGGACACGAGGGGGACACGAGGGGACATCAGGGGACACAAGGGGGACACGAGGGGGATACGAGGGGGACGCGAGGGGGACACGAGGGGACACAAGGGGGACACGAGAGGGACACGAGGGAACAACAGGGGACACGAGGGGGACACGAGGGGACAACAGGGGACACGAAGGGAACCATTCAAGTCTTGGAACATTTCGTTGCTACGGTTTGCCCCCCGTCAACCTTCTGCTCCGAACGTTCTCCAACAGGGAGAGGACCAGGAGGAAAAACAGAAGGTGGAGGACGAGGGAGGAGGGAGGAGGAGGACGAGTAACAGGAGAAGCAGGAGGCGAGGGGGGAGATGGAAGAGGAGGGGGAGGATGAGGGAGAGTAAGATGAGGAGGAATACTTCTCGGGTCACAGCCCGCTGTGACAGACCATGTGTCTGCGGCTGTTCGGTGCCAGCATCTCAAGACCGCGGCTTCGTGTTTTGGGCGTTTTGGGGGGTCGCTGGGGGGGGGACCGAGCATATATCTCTATATATATATATATATATATATATGTTACCGCATGCCGATGATAATAAAGGGACTCCCCCCTTCAGTGTTTAGAGTTGATTATCGTCGCCCTATACAAAATTCAAATTGGGCGGCGAGCGCTGAGGCCGAACTTCATTATCACCTCGAAACGCTATGTTGAGATAGCAACATCAAGCGATGTTGATATAGCAACATCAAGCGAAACGATCACACTGTTTCAGGATGTGTCAAGCGAAACCAATAATTTTGGGAGGCAGACTCAAACGAAACGAGCAATGTTCTTATTATTATTATTATAATTTCCTCTTCTTCTTTTATATTTCTATATGTCCTCACGCTCGCCTGAACTTTTTTTATCCCTGGGGTTGATTATCCATGGAACTTGAAGCACATGAGCTACCCTACACGAACACTTAAAAAATCAATGTTCATAAAGCGCTTGTAAATTAAAATTGATCGATTTGGAACTTTGGAATTTTCCTTTCTTCGTCCTCTTCTTATTATCCTCTTCTTCTTCTTTGTTATTATTCTTCTACTGTATTCTTCTTCTTTTATATTTCTCTCTGTCCCCACGCTCGCCTGAACGTTTTTTATCTCTGGGGTTGATTATCCATGGAAATTGAGGCACATGAACTACCCTACACGAGCACTTACAAAAAACAATTTTCATGAAAGCCATTGTTGAGGATATTTCTATGAAAACTAAACGCCAAGGATGTCTCAAAACGTGCTCGGCTTGGTCTCCTCTTGATCATCTCTTACTTCGAGATTATGCTGAGGTCTGCTGGGCTACTTTTATTATCTCTCCCTGAACCCCGAACTTTATTATCCCCTAGTGTTTATTCTCACGGGCATGAGGTTATATATAGTATGGGAGCCACATGTTTTGCATTTTCTGATTATTGTGAAGACCTGACGGCCGGTGCCGCCGATCCTGAAAGACATCGACGACGACCAGGAGGGAGAGGAGGAGAAGGAGGAGGAGGAGGAGGAGAAGGCGGAGATGAGGAGGAGGAGGAGGAGAAGGAGGAGGAAAAGGGCTCCCCCCTGGGCCCCCCCCTGGGGAGGAGGACCGGAGGAGGACCGGCGTGGGAGAGGGGAGGGGAGGGGGAGGAGGACCCCCAGGGACGAATGCGTATTTGACTCCCCTCACGCCCCCTTGGGACTCCTCCCCACCGGGGGAGGAGGACCCGATTAGGACCGGCGCGCCGGAAAAGAAACGGCGTGGAGAGGCGATGCGAATCTGACCCCCCCCCTCCTCCCGGGACAACCCCCCGCCCCCCCCGCCAGGGAAGGGACAAAGGGAAGGGGCTTCCCTTTGACGTAATGAGGACGTGGATGGAATTCCCTCAAGCTGCAAGCCCGGTCCCCGAACGAGGAAGGGTACTCTCTCTCTCTCTCTCTCTCCCTCCCGACCGGAGAGGGGGATGTGAAGGAGGGTACGAAAGAAGGCCCCCGTCGACGGGACCGGACAGACACCCCACACACGCCGACAGGGTCGGCGGATTTTTTTTTTATCGTCCAAAATCCGCCTGTAGGAGGACA